TTATTAATTAACCCTGATAGATACAGAATCACTAACTAATGGACTCTAGACATCGCCCTAGTTACCTGAGGAAGCCTTTATCAACTGTTCTCTACCTTAGGTATCTCCTCGAAGGCCTCCTGGAGAATCAGCTTCAGAGACTGTTGCCATTGACACCAACAAAGGAGGAGATGAAGGAATTGGAGAGACAACAGCAGAATGGAAGGGGTTGAGCAAAGTTAAATTTAGTCACAACCTTAATCTGAATTCAGAACAACAGAAACCCCAAGATAATTTGTATGTAGAGGAGCAACACCAACACTGTGAGCCTAGTGGTCATGTGATGCCTGATAAAAAGCATGTGCTGGGTGGGACTGAGGACCAGGACAGAGATGAAACAGAAGATGGAGATGTGTTACCCTAAGGAACTGATAAGGAGACAGCATAGGAAGAGGAAGCTGGTGCTCCAGGTTGTGGACATAGAGGAAGTCATCCTTGGGAAGCTCAGGACCACAGCACTAGCATGTTTCCTCCCAGCCCAACCATGGTAGTGATGAGGGTCTGCCAGCTTCTGAGCAGGGGCCGCTTGTAGAAATACGGAGAATGATCTCAGGTCTGTTCGTTGCTGTGGTTTGGGCTTCCCTGGCTTTGATGACTAGCTTTACACTCAGAGAACCTCCACTGGTGTCCCTGGAAACTCACATAAGCAGGAGTCCCCGCTGCATGAGCTCTGATTCTCAGGGCCACTGTGCTGTGTGGTGTTACAGTCCCTGTGATATAGGAGAAGAAACAGATACAAAATCACAAAATTAAGTATTGTAAAAGGTGGGGATTTCTGAAAGCTGGATTGACTGAATTCCTGTTTGACAATAAATATTCTATTCCCTCCACTGATGCATAGCTCCTCCACTGACAGAGGAAGAGTCTGCAGCCTAGACATTCATGAAATCTCCACCTATGCCCACTAGGGGCCATGCCATGTCCCCAGAATGTCTTGACATAGGAACTGTCTGGGACAGAATCTTAGAAAACAGAACTGTTGGATGCAGGCATTGTCCTGTCCTGAACCTGAAATGTTCTCTCTGTCATAGAAACGAAAAATTATAAAGAAAATCTCAGACTACATTCATGACTCTTGGTGTAGGAGATGCTTTAAGGACACAAGTGGAGTGCATGATAATTTTCTAAGGCAGATAATTAAAGTGGCCGGTGGACTAGAAATGGCCCGGAGTGTCACCCTTTGAGGACAGAAGCACGTCTATTTCCTAGTGTCCAGCTCTGTGTGTGTCATACTGTATACTCAATATTTAGTCAACCAAGTCTGTGAAGGAGGACCCTGATGCCAGTGGAATATTTGGGTTAAACACAAAAGTAAAAATGAAACACAATTATAGGTATTAAAACATTCTGATAAATGAGATGAATAGGATTTTATGCATCACAATTCCCTTTGGACAGCTCTGTGTGTTTAGAATTACCTCAGTGTACCCAAACAGCTGAAGTTGACTCTGGATGCATCGTTCTAGTGAGGACTCTCTAAGGGTTTGCTGAACATGTAGCGTCATTCTGGTGCAGAGTGAGAGGGATCA